GCTGCGCAATTAAATATATCTATTTATTTATTTTATATGTAAATTGTGTTTTTGATTTTTTATTAAAATTTTTTTTTGTGATTCTTTTTTAAATTATTAAACAAATTTTTTTTAAATTTTTTTATTAATTATTTAAATTTAGTTTCTTTATTTTAACTTTGGCGCCTTAGCGTAGGAGCAAATAAACTAGGGATTATTTTTAATAATATTCTAAAAGGCTCCCGGAGATTTGGGGAGTGGACACTTGGGGAGTGGACAGTTGGGGAGTAGATAAATGGGGAGTGAGAGGACAATTGGGGAGTGGACATTTGGGGAGTAGCCAAAGATAAAAATACAATAGAATATTAAATAGTTTTTCTTGCTTTTGTATTTAAAAATGGATATAGTGTAGTTCACCGAAGGTAAAAGTTCGGGACGTGACATATGTCATTCGATTCGTCTCGGCGAGCTGAGTCAAACGGTACCATTCCCAATTTCAGGAGATGTTTCTGGACCGAGTTATAGGTTCCTGAAAATTGAAAAACCATAGGGAAGCTCGATTTTGCGGTGAAAAATTTGAATATGCAAGTAATAGCTCATTCAAGAGCTCCTAGAGCTGAGTCGAATGACACTAAAATTAGCCTGATTGAAAAAGTTTGAGTCGAGATATAGGGCTCGAAATGTTCAAATACTATTGCTAAGATTTTATGGTATATAATACCATTGCTGAAATTTTAGGGTCAAAAATTCGAAAAGCATATAATAGCACATTCGATAGATCCATATTTTATATTTTTAAATACAAAAGCAAGAAAAACTATTTAATATTCTCTTGTACTTTCATCGTTAGGCTACTCCCCAATTGTCCGCTCACTCTCCATTTATCCACTCCCCAAATGTCCACTCCCCAAGTGTCCACTCCCCAAATTTCCGGACACGTTCTAAAATTTTAAATAACATCCTTAACTGTGTTATCTAATTCAATTACGAATTTTTGATGTAAAATTTTAAAAGTTGTAATTGAAAAACTGACAGAAATGTCAAATTTTTAGATATAATGTATTTGTAATTTTTTTCTTTTCTTTCATTTTTTCGACACAAATTCATTCGAAAAACTAATATACCTATATGACAACCCTGAAGACATGACTAAAAATTTGTGTATTTTGGAACAGCTCGTTGATAATACATAAATTTAAAGGGTTTTTGTTAGTTGTTAGTCATCTTTCGGCTTAAATGCTGAGTATATTTAACAGAAAATTCTAAAATAATTAAAGATGGTAGGCAACACTAATTTTAATCTTTTGTATCGGAAAATGCTTATTTCTTCTTTAAAATTCTATAAACCTGTCAAAATTTCCTGATTTAAAAAATAAATTTGTTTTTCACATAAACCCCCACCTCTTTTTCCGAATTTTCCAATCCATTCACTTTCAAACATTTCCTCCATCCGCTCGATTTACAGCGATTTTTAAAGCGTAAAGCACTCTCAAGGCAAAATAATAGTTTTAGCGAATTTAGGGCATTTTAATAATTATTTTTTATTGAAAAAGAAAAGTTATTTTATTTTTTATATTTTGGATGATTTTATAGACCAAAACTTGAAATAAACCCTAAAATTTTGTTTTCCTTTTTAGTACTGTTAACTAACCTAATCTGCATAATTCTAACTACTTCAATTAATTTATTATAGTAAATTTAGTTTAGAATTGTTAGTGTCATTATTTTTGGCCGTTATGTTTTATTTTTGCAAGACAAGCATATGCCTTGACTAAAATATTTAAAATATTTGAAATATTTCGACTTATAAATAATAATTTTAAAATTTAGAAATCTCATTTCCTTGATTATTTTTTCATAATATTAATTAACTCAATTAAATTTTATAACAAGCAGTGATGTCAAAGTTCCAGTTCAGTAACTAATTAGTTGTAGTTCCGGAACTAGAACTACGGAACTAGTAAATGTCTGGAACTAGCTTTGGAACTAGTTCTGGAACTAGTTGCTGAAGGACTTGATTAAGCCCTTAGTCTTTTCTAGGAAGTCCAAATAATCTCCCCTCCCAATATTCCTCTATATTCTGGCGGATTCAGCATGGCCTTTTTCTTATAAATTAATTCAAAATTAATTTAAGGGATGCTTAAAAGATTAATAAAAAGTTCTAAATTTAATTTCTGCCTAAATTCCATCAATTTAATTAATTTCTTTATTCTATCAAATTTATTTATATTTATTCAAGCAAATGAGGGAACAACAAAATTAGTTAAATTAAATATAGATGAATTAGTTAGTGAGGAGGATTATGGGTCTGTATTAGATCAAGAGCCGGCTAAACCTGACGATGTTGATAATGACGTAAATTTTATTTTAGTTAAGGAGAAATTGAAAAATGAAGTTTTTAATTTTTAAAATTATCACTTAAATTTTGATAAGTTCGAAACTAAACTTTAAAAATTCCAACCAGGGTTGTGTGCAAAATTTTTCGCGTGGCTCGCCTAACGCTAATTTTTAAAAATTTTAAAACACGCCAAACACTAAAAATCGGGCACAGCATGGCGCGCAGTTCTGATTTCAATATATTTTCAATTCCTTATTGAAAATTATATCTTTTGAAAAATTTTTTTTAATTTCGTTTTTGTTAAGAAATCAGATTTTAATCTATAGAATTTTGCCGAAAAATTTTTGATTAGGAATTAAGCTAATTTGAGAAGTTTCTGAGAATGGTTTAATTTTTTTCATTTACTGCCGTTTCTTTCAGCTTAACAAAACAAAAAAAACAATCAAAAATAATTTTTTAGATAATCCAATCCCTCGTTGACAATTTTTTAAACAAAGGCACAACCTCCAACGATGGAGATAAACAACAAACAAATATAGAAAAATTAAATAAGGAAGCACAAGCTTTAATTAATTCGAGTGATTACTGGAGAGTAGAAAACTTAAAGGTATCGCTTTGGTTATTAAATAATTGTGCTAGTATAATTTTTTATGATTTTTTAGTAAAAATTAAATTTGTTACAAAATTAATTGAATTACTAGAAAATTTTATGAAATCCATTATTTCTTTTCAAAGTTTTTTTTTCAGTTTTTTTCCCCTAAATAGCGTTTTTGTCGGTTTTTCTTTTCTGGAATTTTTTTCTGTCATATTAAGGTTTCCTTTATGGATGATTTTTTGAAATTTAATTTTCTATCGAAAGATTACACAAAAAATTGCCAAAACCTTCACGAAACTGCGTATTTTAGTGTTTTTTATAATATTTTTGTTGGGGAATTACAATTAACGATCTTGAAGCAAATTTAAATTGAAGATACCAATATCGGACCATCCATTCTAAAGTCAAATATGAATGCGAAACTGAAACACTCTATAATTTTTATTATGCCTTAAATTTTTAAAATTTTCTTAAAAATTTTTTTCAAGCCACTTAACTCAATAAATGACCCACAATTAGCCAAGCAATGGTTAGCAGGATATTCGGTTGAATTACAAAAAGTCTTGCATCAAATAGCTCTGGCTGGGTGGAATTATTTTACGGCTGCTTCTATCTCTCTAAAGCAAAATTTAGATGAAGCTGAGGAGGTAGAAATTATTAAATTTTGATAAAATATTTAAAAATCTTTTCTGTTTCTTCTGAATTTTATTCTATTATTCTTAATTTTGAAGTTCCGTTACTGGGATTATTTGTAATTTAATTTTTTATGCTATTTTGATTTGGATCTGATTATTTTCTGAATTGATTCTGAAAAGTTCTGATCATGTTTTTATTATTTCTTAAATAATGGAATTAATATGTATAACTGAAATTTGCATAATATTAATTAATTCAATCAAGTTTAACTAAGAGAAAATTTGAAAAGTTATTGAAGAATTAATTTTGATCAAATTATCTATATTTTTGTAAGTCGATTTAAATTCGACTAATTAAATTTTAGATGTAATGATTTGTTTACTTCTGATAATTTTCTTAACATTTTCTGAACAATGATATTGAGTACATGTATAACTGAAATTTACATAATATGTATTAATTAGTTTGATCAAGTTTAAATGAGAGAAAATTTGAAACTCATTTTGTAAATTTGATTCTTTTATCTCGTATTTTTGTAAGTCGATTTAAATTCGTCTAATCAACTTTGGCTATTCTGGTCTGATTGTATCTGACTTTGTTCTGGTCTATTATGTACTATTGTATAGCATATTAGTGTTATTCAAACGCGTTTTTTCGGTATCGGTATCGGTATTTTCGGTAAAATACCGATACCGAAAAAATACCGATTTTTTAAAAATTGTTCGGTACCGTATTCGGTATCGGTATTTCGGTAAAAATACGGCGGTATTACCGAAAAATACCGCCGTAATACGGTACCGTGAATAACACTATAGCATATAGCTATTAATTTCCTAAGGCTGAGCAGTAGGCGGCGTGATGTAAAGGCTAACACATCAGTCCGGTCTACTGAAGATGCTGGTTCACTCCCAGCCGCCGAATAACCTTTTGCACTAGCTAAAGGAGAGAAATAGCTATAGACCAGCTGCTTTACTCTATTGACATATTCTGATTTTTATTATGATATTTCAGTATTTATTCTGATTTATTAAAATTATTTTCCTAAATATTCAGGAATAATTCACTTTAAATTCATTTTAATCCAACTTTTTAAAAATCAAAATAAGGTCGGACGTTCATTTTTACGTGCAACAGCTTTACAATCTCAACAGTTTAATAGAACAATATTTCCTTATGGGTCTCCGGAAAGAATCCAATTTTCCGTGTTGGCACAACAAGGAATGAATGCTTTAGATACTGAAGATTATAATGAATATAATAAAATATTGCTTTCAATAAATCAACAATTTATACATACACAATTGTGTGGAGAGCCTGGGAAGGGTGAAAAAATTTTTTGAAATTTTGAAAATTCATGGAATTTTTTGAAAATTTTTTAAATTTTTAAGTTAATTGGAAATTTTTTTGAAAATTTTTCAATTTCTAAATAAATTTAATTCTTGTTAAGCGCCCATGGGCGGAGACAAATCAGCCTGCCTTTTACGATTTTCTGACATTCCCTCGATGTTAAATGCTCCGGGAGCTGATGCTATGCAATGCCTCGATCTTTGGCAAAAATGGCGTTTATCAGTTGGAAATGGTCTTAAAACGAGTTATTCACAACTTGTTCAAATGAGTAATAAAGGTACGCAGACTAATTTTTAATCGTCTACTTTCATTATAAAATATACGCTTAGGCTAGAAGAATTGTGTTTGCCAAGAAAATCGGCTTGATAATGAGAAACTTATTTAGGAAATTTTAATTTATAAAAGCCGGAGTATTCGTAAAATACGATCCTATTTAATTGGTTAAAATTCTGGTTATAACTTTAAAATTAATGATTAAAGATTTAACCAAATATTTAACCAAATTTAACCAAATTTTGGTTAATGAATTGGAGATCAATTCACGAAGACATTCCCAGTCCGGACGACCCGGTAGTAATATAATAGTTACAATAGTTCTATTAAAAATTACGGCAATACTCCTCAATTGAAAACTTATTTTAATAAGCAGCCATTTTATAGGAGCACGTTTAAATTCTTTCCAAAATTTGGGCGAAATGTGGCGTGCAGTTTACGAACTCCCTGAGAATTATGGTTTTTATTCCGAGAAACAATTCGATTTGGAAGAGCAATTAAATAGTGTCTATAATCAAATAAAACCATTTTATCAACAATTACATGCTTATTTTCGTGCGAGATTGGCCGCTTTACACTCAAAAAAGGGTGGAGAGGAAGTGAGTTTTGACTGATTTAAAATTTATTTTTAAAGTTTGGACAGAAACTAGACAATTAAACCTCTATGAGGAATTTCTTATTTTTAAACCCGAACGATTTTTGTCAAAAGATTTGATTTTATATGTTTAATGATAAATAAAAAGTAAAAAATTTTGCCAACGTGATTTAGTGATGATAAAGTGCAGGCGGATATACGGGACGGATATATCAGGATATTTCAATGTACGAAGAGTTACCCCACCAATTTCGGGACCTACGTCCAGGGATGTCACGGGTTGAGAAAAATGTCGGGTCGGGTTTCCAAAATTTTTCTCGGATCGGGTTTTGGGTTTCGGGTTGAGCAAAAAGTCGGGTCGGGTTTCGGATCGGGTTTTCAAAATTTTCTTCGGATCGGGTTTCGGGTTTCGGGTCGAAAAAAAGCCAAAATTTTGAGAATTTTGGAAGGCCAAAAAGCCAAAATTTTGAGAATTTTGGAAGGCCAAAAAGCCAAAAATCTTCCCTTCTCAGCGCCGCAGGCGAAAATTTTGAGAATTCTTGAAGGTCCGAAGCCAGATTTCTTCCTTTTTCAGCGCGCAGGCGAAAATTTTCAGAATTTTGGAAGATCATTAAGCTAAAAATCTTCCCTTTTTCTGTGACGCGGGCGAAAATTTTGAGAAAACTCGGGTCGGGTTTCGGGTCGGGTTTTAAAAAATAAAAATTCTCGGGTCGGGTTTCGAGTCGGGTTTTAGAAAATTTCTCGGATCGGGTTTCGGGTATCGAGTCGAAAAAAAGGCCGGGTTTCGGGTATCGGGTTTCGGGTAACCCGTGACATCCCTGCCTACGTCCACCTATTGAGGAAAAGAGTTATATTTTAAAACAAACGTAAACACGCAAGAATTATTTTTGTCACACCACTCCCGATTAGTCCTTCCCGATATGTCCGCACACCATGATAAAGGGATTAGGAAAAAAATTGTATAAATTTGTGTTTAAGAATCTTGTGGTTCATAAAAAACTTATAGAGTGATAAATAGATATTTGAAAATCATTATGATGTACTATATGAAAAAACTGCTTTCCTGAAAAAAAATTCTAAGATAAAATTTTAAGATTTCTAAAAATATTTATTTTTAACTAAAGAATCAAAAAGCTGGTTTTGTCTCCAAAAACGGCCCAATACCCATACATTTACTAAAAAGCTCAAATGGAGATAACTGGTCAGCTTATTATGAACAAACAAAACCTTTTTCTGACGAAGCTTTAGCTGTGGAAGAAGAAAGAATATCCAACGAATTATTAAATTCATTTCATGCACAAAACTATACTGTTAGATTAATGTATACTAAAGTAAGAAAAATCAGAATCTTTGAAAAAAAATTTTTTTAAATCATTTAAGGTGTATCGCTTTATGAAATACTTAGGGTTTGAAAAATTGCCTCGTTCGTTTTGGACAAATTCTGTTTTTAAAAGAAACTGGGCTAAGGAAATGATTTGTAATCCTGCTACTTCGTATGATATGGTAGATAATGAATTTTAATTTACATCAGAATTTTTAGTCTTTTAAATTCTGATTTTATTTTGTTTGCAATGTTTTAGGTATACAGCTATTTAAACTGTCGATTTTATCGAGCGTTTAAAAAGCTGTAAATTAATTTCTACTGATTTTATACAAAAATTATTCTGATTTAGTTATTTTATATTTTAATAGTGATTCTAATAAAAATTCTGGTTCTGTAATAACAAGTTAGATTCTGATTTTATTAGAGTTTGACGCGTTACCGTATACTAGCTTTTTAAACTGTCGATTGTAACGAGTGTTTACAAAGCTGTAAATCAAATTAATTAATTTAGACTTTAATAAATTTTGAAATAATTTGAATTAAAAATCAGAATATTATCTAAATAATTTTGTATATTCTGAAAACTAAATTCTGTTAATTCGGATAATTATATATAGGAAATTCAGAATTCTTATTAGCAATAATTTTAATAATTCTAATTTAAGATGAATGGCCAAGATGACTATAGAATTAAAGTTTGCGGTCAACTTAGTGAACAAGTATGAACGTATTTGTGTAATTTAAAAAAGATGTCTTTATTAAGGAATTTATACAGTCCCATCGTTTGATGGCCAAATTGTACTACCAATATGGATCAAGACATCAACCCATTCTTTTGAGAGATGCGCCTAATCCAAGGCAATTATTCAATCTTAAATCTCTTAAAATTATAAATTTTCAGTCTAAGCTCAGCATTAGCTGGTGCCTTCAGTGTAATAGCCCGCAACCTTGATTATTTACGTTCTATTAAAATAGTTAATGAAAAAGTTGAGAGGAGCGAATCTGCAGAAATTAATAGATTATATAAAGAAGCTCTTGAAGATTTCGTTAAATTACCTTTTGCCGTTGTAGCTGGTAATTGTGGAATTTTTTTTGTTTTTTAAAATTACTGTTAAAAAGATAAATGGAGATATGCTGTATTTAACGAAAGCCTGTCTCCTTCAAATTGGTCGATGGAGTGGTGGTCGTTGAGGTAATAATGTAAAATTTTTGGGGAATAGTTAGGACTAATCAAAGATACAAAACTTCAGTAACCCCTATATTAAAATAAAATTCGTGTAATAAAGACAAAGGAAGCTCCTCCAAACGGTCGATTTCTAAGAATGTTTAAAAAGCTGTGAACGCGGTTTACAGTCTTCTAAAGCTTTTTGTAGCGAAAAGATGTCAAAAAGCTGCCTAAAAATGCAAATGCAGTTATTCCCTTAATAAATTTTTATTATTGAAGCCCGTGCAAAATTTCCTTCAAATTTCAAAATTAAAAAATTTTTACTTTAAAGGCAGAAATATCAAGGGATTATTGCCCCTTCAATGGCTGATCCAAAAGCTGTAGAAAGCGATCCAACAGCGTCTCCATTAATTACTCAACAGCATGCACCTGCAACACGTGATACCTTTGCTTATATTGTTCAATTCCAAATATTAAAAAAATTGTGTAAAAATAAATTAAGTCAAGGATGTTTGCCTGACAAAGAGGAAATGAAGGTGATAAAATAAAATTTTCTAATTTTCTAAAAATATTAATATTAATTTTATGAGAGAAAAAATTTATTACAATATACAGCTTTTTAAACTGTCAAATTCATCGAGCGTTTAGAAAGCTGTGAATAAATTTAAATCATTTTAATTCAAAAATATTAACAGGATATTCACGATGCCATAAAAAGAGGTGGTTCAATTTCTTGGCTTGATGCCTTTGAGAAAATGACTGGCAATAGACATATTGGTAACTTAATTAGTTTTGAACTTTTTAAAAATTACTATAAATTTTTGAAATCTGTAAAAAATTTTTCATTTTGTTTAAGATGCCGGCCCACTGCTAGAATATTATTCTCCGTTAATTCAATGGCTTGATAATATAAATTCCAATGAACAACGAGTTGTTGGGTGGGAAGTTGAGGGTGAAGGAGAGGCTTTTGCAGAGTTAATTTATTTTATTTTTAAAGTTTTTAAATTATTATTAAAGAAACGAACTCCCACATTTACAAAACCAATATGAAAGTGAAAATGGGGGAGAATTTGGGAGGATAGATGGAACGGGTGGAGGAGATGCTCAGATTGCTTTTCCTGGTAAGAAATTTTTGTCTGATCGGAACTCCTGAAACCCCCTCCTCGTGACATTTCGGTTCAAAAATAAATTGAACCAGAATTTGACTACTTTTTCTAGTTTTTCAAAATTAAAAATTATAGGGAGGGTTACTTTAACATAATAATTTAATACTAGGTCAGAGCTGCGAGAAGGATCAGGAATGTCTACTCGATTCAAAATGTAATGGGACAATTTGTGTTTGTAGGGAAGGATTGTATACTCTTCGGATTGCAGGCACTTATAACTGTGTTCCGAGTGATCCTGCTAAGGTTATTTTTGGAAATTTAACTTTAGGGTTTTGTTGACTTTTATCTTGACATTTTGATATTTTTAGCCTTTTAATTTATGGCATTTATGTAATTAACCAAAAAATATACTTATAGGTAGGATTCACTGATGACAGTGGTGGTCTAGTAATAGCTCTAAATCCCAACAATGGATCACACGCTCCTGAAACCGGGCAAAATGCTGATATAGAGGCAGTTGTTACAATTGAACACATGGACGAAGAGGCGAATAAACATGGAAAAACCTCAAATTCTGCGATAAAAAAGCTATGCAATTTCTCCATTTTATTTACAATTTCTCTGGCCATTTCTGCTTTAAGACAACAAATGCTTATTCATCGGATATAAAGTTTATAGTTAATTTAAAGAGCTATATGTATATATTATTTGTTTATTTGTAAAATTTTTTGTTTACTATTTAAGTTTCTAATGTAAATTATAAAGATTAGTGCGCGGAACCGGACCGGATCCGGCCGGATGCGGCGCTGAAAAAGGAAAATAAGTGGATTTGGAGGGACTAAGGAGGGATATAGGTGTATTTGTAAAGATTAAGATGGATATACATCTCCCTTACAACTCAAATCCCGCGATATCAATCCTACTCCACCAAATCACCTGTTATCCACCACAAATCCGCCAAGCACCCTTCATAATCATCCAAAATCCTTAGATATCCCCACTAACAAATTCTTAACACATAAACAATCAAATCTCTTTATTAAAGATATAGAATACTATACTCAATTGATAACTGGCCACCAAGTTTTCCATATATGATCTGCAAAAGACGTTCTGCAAAATGGAACTCCTTTAACTCCCTTATTCATTTATTTTCTCGCAGGTTATCCAGAATAACCTCATTTAAAAAGCGGAATTTTAACAGAAAAATTAAAAAAAAATAAAAAAAATTTAACAGAAAAATTAAAGAAAATCAATTTGCTCAATTGTATATTCATGGCCACAAATTTTACTGATCAATTTATGCCCTTTATTATAAATTGATGGCATTCGTCGTCAGTGTTTGATTTTTTTTGAATAAATCATGCAATAGAATAATCTAAAATTGATCCCTTTGATTCTCTAATTTACACACAAGCCGATAATATTTAAAAAATGATTGACTCTCGATTTTTCGTGTAATGTTGACAATTAATTTTCGCCTGTCAAATCTATATCTCTACAATATTACTTGCTTGTCTGAGAAAGATACTTCCAATTAACGTCAGATTTTATTGCCCGAAAGTCGTACAGGTTATATTCGACCATTCGCTTCTACAAAACCCCCAAATAAACGTAAGTGATAGGTGTCGTATTAATTAAGCTCCACCGCTTCTCTAATTTACACACTACGTGACAGCAATAAATCACACTGAAAAATTCTTCGCATATATATGTAGACGCCTCCCTTAGAAATTAACAAAATATGCAACTATTTATGTATATGTATATTCATTAAATTATTCATTAAATAATTATAATTTAATATTATTATTATTATCACTAATAGAAAGGCTGTCTCCATTTGAATGGCCCGCTTTAATAGTATGGCCCCCTTGAGGATGATTGAAAATAGAATGCCCCCCCCATATGAATATATTTATTCAAAAGGACCTCAAACTTAAACTTGAGTAATTAAACTATAAAATCAACGTGTGAAAAAAGATAAAACTTAAGTTTGGCCAGAGAATTTAAAAGAAAAAGAAAATGATTAAAGGCAAAACCTAAGTGAAAAAACTAAATAAAGCGCAGGTGGGTGAAAATGTAAATAGGTGAAGGAGATAATACTCGGAGAAATTAGTAGTGCTAAAAATAGCTAAAAACTTAAAGAATAAATAAAATGATTGGAGAAGCGATCAGAAATGAAAATGATGTTAGCACAAACGGGTATGGCTAAAAAAGAGATATCGGGCAAAAACAAACGGTTAAAACCAGACGGTGCAAAAGATCTGTCGCTTTGCGACAGAGCGTTTCAGTAAACTTTGGCCATCCAATGAATACTTTTTTTATGGAATTTTTTTTAATTTTCCACATTAAAATCTTATAGAATTAATGCTTTAATTTAAGACTTACATTAAAATTAAATTAATTGTTGAACCGGATATCCGCCAACTCTAAACACACAATGTGACTATTCAACGATTCTATAATGCAATCCCCATCTCCTCCCCCCCCTCCCCACAGAAAAAAGCTGGCAGGAGGTAAGAGAAAAGCAGTCGCTAAGAGAAGAGCAGTCTCTAAGAGATAGGAGAAGAGCAGTTCTATAGATGCACGCATGCATGGCCATAAGTCTTATTAACGTTACGAGGAAATGTCTAACAGTCGAATCTATATTATATTTTTTATTCAAATCTTTAGAGGTAAGTGAAGAAAGTCTTATGAGACGTTTCCTATATTGCATAGTTAGGAGGAATTATTAAAGAAGCGCAGTCGCTATGCCCAATTCTAGACGCACGCATTATAGCATGGCCCTAAGTCTTATGGACGTTAAGAGGAAATCTCTAACAGTCGAACCTGTATTATATTTCTTATTCAAATTTTTTTAGAGGCAAGTGAAGAGGGTCTTGTGAGACGTGTCTTATAATGCCCAGGCAAATGGGAGTTTAACATTCACTCTTGACAAGTCATTCTTTAATTTTCTAAACATTTTTTAAAATTTTAGTTGTGAAATATGCTTTAAAAAATTATATTGGTGCGGCAAATGTTTTTATTAAATTTAATGCTCAAATAAGAGATCGGATCTTGTTCTCGTCATCCAAACTAACATTCCTGTTTTATTTTTCGGTGAATGTCTCTTCAGTAAAAACCGTTTCCTTCATCCATTATTAACCTCATATTGCGAACATTTGATAACTCCAGGAAAAACTTTAGACCGCCCTCCTTTATTAATCTTGCAAATTGGCACCTCCGTCAAATGTTAACTTTAAAATTTCCTTAGTCATAGTTTCCGTTATTTACGATATTACTCAAAATCATTTGAATTTTTCCTTAAATGTTTCTTGCCAATGCTTGTTTAGTTAACCAGTCTAATGTTTAATCAGTCTAATCATTTAGTGATATTTCAATTTTTTTAAAGGATGAAACTGTCAACTTGTTTGATTTTTCTATTTTTAATTTGTAGTTTATTTGATTTAAATTATTGTCGGAAATCTAACAAAAACAAGCGTGGAAAAAATGGCAAAAACCAAAAGGCAACTAAATGTGAAAGTCTGATGTGTAAGAATTTTTGTAAAAGAGGAATTACAGCAGGGGGAATTGAAAAGATCAACCAAACTCGAGGTGGAAATAAGGTAAAAGATTTCTACTGTTTGAAGGTTCATGTGTACCTTATAGAGATCGAGATTTTTGAAAAGCCTGGACCTGTTCCTGGACGCTGGAGTTGATTTCTTGACCTGGACTGGACCTGGTCCTGTAGTCCAGGAAAAACCCAGGAAGGTCAAAAAATGCCTGGACTTGGACTCTGGTTACAGGAAAAACCCAGGCCTTGGTCCAGGTCCTGCTCGATCTCTAGTACCTTAAAGCTTTTAAATGACAATTTAATTCATTCTTAGTTGTTTTCTTGTTGAAATTAAACAAGCATTACAATAATTTAATGTTTGTAATAAAAGTCTCACGTAGTAAACAAAATAAACTCTGCTCTTCTTCTTTTCTTTAATCAATTTAAACACAAATACAAAATATGAACCTTTTTACTTTTCTTTTCAAAATAACAAAAATAATATAAAGAAGGAACGAACTTGTGGGAGAGAAATGGGGTTTACATTAAAAGAGGGGAGAGAATAATTGGATGGGGTCAAAATATGGGGAGAGAACGAAAGAAAAACAAATGCTATTTCTTTTTAGCATCACATCCCGCTCACTTCAGATGACGGCGTCCTCGACGTCAGAATAAATTCTTCCATCTCGGTCTGTTTCAGCGAAAGGTTTTGGGTGGCGAGGTTATTCTTTTGTTGCTCTTAGTGTCAAAGTTGATCATAGGGTTCTCGAGACCGACTCATTCACTAAACCCGATCTTCGATGAAATGTTTCCAATAGGACTCCAATGGTGAGAATTTCGGTCACCGACACCGATTCTACCAGTCCTGATTCTTGCTTTCGTTTTCTTTTTTTCCAATCTTTTTCAATTCCAGCGTCCTTTGATTCACAAATTACATCTTGTTTTGTCACCGAGACAAATTTCAAGACTTTCATTAGCTTTAAATCTTGCATTTGATGGTCCATTTCTTTCGAAAAATTCCCAGAATGATTAGGGACTCTGATCAGCGTGACCAGTTTTTCCAAGTTCAGACACCTCCGAACTCCGTGAAAAAATCGTCCCATGATTTTTCTTTTCAAAAATAGCATTCAAAATCTTTTCCAAAATCATTCCTTAAAATTTCTTTCATTAGAATCTCGTATCTTAGCTTTGTCAAAATTTTTGAATCCCTCAATTTTGACCTTAACATCTTTCTTTTTTCAACCAAAACTTTCAATTTGTCTCTTGACGGCAGGATTTCCTTCTCAGGATCCTTCTCAAACACTTCCAATTTAAATTCCAAACTTTCTTGCACATCATCTTTTTCTTCCAAATCAAAATCCTTTTCACCTAATTCTTTCAAATCATCACACAAATCACTTCCTTTTTCTTTCAAATCAACACATTCTTCGCCTTCAAAACATACAATTTCTTCTTTAATTTCTTCATGGGAAACAGGAATATCCATTGGAACAATTTCCTGAAAAACATGGATTTCTGTTGGAATAGGAACTTCGACAGATGTAAAATCCTGCTTTCCATCTAAGGAACATGTAAGCTCTACATCTAATTCACAAATTTGTTCATTTCCAAAATCTTCCATTAATTTAATCACTAATTCCTTTTCACCAGTTACATCCTTTTCAACAATTGGTTCCAAATTTTTCAAAAATTTTTCTTCTGAATTTTCCAATTTGCTTTCGTTTTTGGCCGAATCTTGGTTGATTGGCATTTCGAAAAACTCCAAAATTTCTTTGGGAAATTCTTCTTTTTCAAATTGAATGTTGACCTTATTTTTGAAAGATGGCGTGGGAATTTTCTGAGTTTTGTGACTTTTCTCAGGCTCTTTCAAATTTTTCTTCTGTTGAGGGGAATTGGTTTGCTTTTTAACTAAATCGATTGACTCCTCGACTTTGTACTCAGATGGAAGGAGCTTACAAATGATGAAATTCTTAATCGATTTATAGTTGTAGTGCTTGGCTTTGATTGCAAGAATGAAGTAACTTTTTGCTTTGCCATCCAACTTGGATTTGAGAGCAAAAATTTTCTTTTTCTCCAACCAGTCTTCTAGAGCGAGATCAAATTTTTTGAAAAATTTTCTTATCCCGAAATCTCCTTCGGTTCCGTCTAGATCTGGAATGGTATCCAAAAGTAATTTTTCGATGTCAGCTTGTGACGTGTCTTCGAAGAAATTAGAATTTTGTTCAATCGGATGAATCGATTGCGGTGGCACGAAGGGGTATGGGTAGTGAATCATTTGTTGAGGGAAGCCATAATTTGGATGACAAGAGAAATTTGGAAATCCGTAGAAT